TCTCACTTTTCCTTCTTCAAAATTGATGGTCAAGGGTTTTGAGATGCAATCTTTTCGATTTTGGCCTTGTTTTCAAATTCTGAGGCTGCCCTTATAACAAATTTAGCCTTTCAAATAGACGACAATTACTCTGGGATGGAGGAAGTATGTAGGTAGAGGTGCAGAGCACTGCCAGTGTGCTGCACCTGGTGGCTGTAAGGAATCACTCATCTAAGGGAAAGATGACTGCAGCAGCCCCACAGCAACTTTGCAGAAGCATGAAGCTTCCAGCACCAGCAGACTAACCCTATGCCATGTCATCCACCTATGAGTGCCATCAATATACACAGGGTGATCCAGGCAACTTGTGTCCATTCATGTCTGCATACCTGGATGATCATAGATGATGGAAAGCCTCCAATGTGCTGCCCCTTTGGCCTCACGACGCCCTCTCGTGCGACTTGAAACATTTCGATCCCTTCATCATGGTCATAGGTGGCATCCTGCTGCGATATTATAGGTCGCACTGACCATCCACCCACAAAGTCTGTGGCATTGTAGCGGTGGCTATTCACATCGTGATCGAATGATGGATTAAGATCCATCTTCTGCCCGACTATCGGCACCTGATCGACCACAAGGCCACCTCAGAAGGCACAATTTCTTGATTCAGAAGCAAAGCAGCTTGATGAGTTCAGCAGGATGAAACTTGTCAAGTCAGGCACACTGGCCTTGGAAGTAGTCTTCCTTCACAGAGTCCATTCGTTGAAAGCTTCCTGCTGACAATGATGATCAGCCCACTAGAACCGCATGCTACCATTTACCATGAAGTGGCTCCCATGCACCAAACAATACATCTCCTTGTTACTGAGTCTGTTTGTGCCCATGTGTCAAATGACATCACTACAGCTGGAGCTGTTTGTGCAGTTCAATGCACACACACACTCTCACATCCCATCCAAAAATGCTTTGGTGCCCTGACCACACGTACCTGAGAAGGATGAGCTTCCTCCTGCAGTACCTCCACTCTTCGCAATCGAACATAGTCTCTCCTCTTCTGTTCTTCCATCATTCGGGTCCTCTCATCCATGAGCTGGAGTTCACTCTCTGACTTCAGGTCCCTAGAAAACAACACACGATGGTGTCGGATTTGCTGGTGGGTGCTGTGCCACAACAACAGTCTCTGGCGAGCAACCAACCCACAGCCATCAGCGCATGGTTCAGAAGGAGCTTGAACCACGGCATAGCATCTGGGTATTGTGGAGTTGTCACCCTGTTATCAAACTGTCGTTATGTCATACTTGATACGCTGTCAGTCTCTGGGACAAGCCCAAAGACATGCGTGGCACAACAGCGCTATGAAGCAACCATTTGATTGATTGGCCTCATTGCAGGTTTCCTTGGTGGGAACAGTGGGCAAACCCTTCTGTACTCCCAGAATGGGTGTCTCTGCTGAAGGCAACTGGTTTTCCTCACAAATGCAGGGCAACAACAAGGTCAAGGACACATGCACTCATGAGCTGATTTTCAAGGACTTTCACAGCCTGGGACATCATATTCCCACACAAATTGCTACACAGAAAGATTCTGAACGGCTGTCCTGGTAGGGAATTTGACAGATGTCCCATCACTGCTGCCTGTGACAGCCATCCGGACTTGCAACAACACAACACAGAGAACAGGAAATAACACAAGATAATCTTGCTTGCAGCCACAATAACCTGGGTCTGCTGAGCCATAGGTAAAACTGGAACACACAAATCCAGAATATCAACAGTGGGAGTTGTTCCTAGGAGATGTGCTGTGCTTGGTTCCACAGGATCAGCAGTGTTTACAAAGTTATGTGTTTGTTGTGCCGTGGCGCTGTCTGACACGTGATACACAGATCCAAATAACATCCATATCCCAAGGTACCTGTCCATTCAGTACCCATGCAAAGTTCGGTACTCAGAATGAACTGCGGAATGGTTGAAGCTGTTCAATGGGTGCCAAAATGGCATCTAGCCATAACTGTTGTAACATAACTGTTTTTAAGACAGGAATGGAACAGAGGAACCCGACACCACATCTATTCATCAACTGATGCTTCATGTGGGGCATATGTGGCATGTGTTTGGCACAGTGCAAGACTGCAGAATAACCCCTCAATCGCCATAGCCATACCTCTCCTCCTCAGGGAATTTCTTTGGTGCCTTGGATTGCAGCAGTTGAGCAACCAAGGCAGACAACTGGAGCTGCTTCCTCGGCCCAATGAAGTTGATCATCTGCTGAATGGGAGGTGGTCTGCCAGATCGATTGATCTGCACAATGCTCTCCACTTCCCTGAACAACCTGCTTGTAATTATTTGGCCGATGGTCTGCAAATGAAAACAACATAAACACATTACTTCCAAGTGAAAAATCAGAAGGGCATCATGGCCATACAATATTCTCCCCACAGGCCAATAGCAACACAAGCAACCTCCATGACCAAATGTGGAGAGCGAAACCGTTGCATAATGGGATGAAAATGATGGCACAGATGTTGCTGTGAACCAGACTCGCTGCCAGCAGTGGGGGGCACAGAACATCCTCTGTCTTGCAGCTCTGCATATCCTTTCTGTGAACTCACCCTGGAAGAACTAAGTGCTGCATCGTGCACTCCCCACATCAGCAAGTCCACAGTTGAGGCCAAACAAAAGTGCAAACCGTCCAATGTCAGCGAAGACCAGAAGATTAGGCACTACACACTATATAACTGATGGACATAAAGGAGCACAGGCATTTCTCAAATTCTGTCCAACTCACATTCCTCTTGAAAGGCATCCCATTGGGTAGCATTGGCACACCCTCGTTTGTCCGGCAGCCAGGGTGGTTTTCAAAACCAAGAGGTCTCCCACCCCATCTCATGTCCTGAATCCCATGGCTGATGATCTGGCTTGCTGCATCCAGCCTGGGAAGAGCACAGCCAATGTGTCACAGCTGCTCCAGGCAGCACAACACTACAGGCACTGAGACATAACAACCCCAGACGATTCAGACTCTGTTACACTGGCCGTGAAGGGCACCAATGCCCCCATTAAGAACACCACATTAGCTGAGAATGACCGTAACTACACCATTGATGATACACAGCATACAACAAACCAGCAGTCCAAGCCGGCAGCTGCTGGGAATACCATGACTGTGACTAAAGCAACGTTCAAGCCTGCCTGGCGAGCAAGTGGAAACTAGTATTGGCAACAATTGTCTCCTGTCCTTTTCCCCTATTATGTGAGGCCTGGCCTGGCCAACAAGCAGAGAGTTGCGGACAAAGTTGCAAGTAGATCTGTGAACAGAGCGCAGATACATCGCTTTGCATCCAAGCTGATATCATAACAGTGACTGTCACGCTGTCACTGCCTGCAATGATGACTTGCATGAATTGGAAATGCTTGTAAGCATTCCACCAGGCCAACACATTAATCCTGCATTTCAACAGCTGAACACACACTTGCTGATTCTCCATATTGGCACCCCACCTCATGCGGTAGTACTCATTGTAGGGCATCTCTCCGTGTGTGCCATCCGGTGGCGGTGCATTGGCATGTGTGAGAATGGCTATGCAGCTGTACAGCATGTTGGGGAGCATATCATTGATCAGCCGAAGCAGGGGAAGGTCACTAAATTCTCGGCGGAATATGTCCATGCGGTCCACATAGATGACGATCTGTGGCTTGTATCTGTTCACAGCCGCCTTTACTTTCCTCAGATACACCATGCTCTGGCGACGCTTTGATGCAGCCATCCTCAGACCTGACAAACCACAAACAGTGGGCAACCCAACAGCACCATATGGATTCAGGTAACCAGGTCACAGGCAGGTACTGGGAGTATGTACTCCATATTCCACTGAATAATGGGCATAACGATGCACTGTTGGGCAATTATCCTCTAAGCCATCAAACAATGCCAACAAAGTTCCCAAAAAGAACACCAAGCAAGAAATGCCTTACATAGCCTCGATGGCAGAAAAGGCTGACGTTTTGGCAATGCCAAAGGTCTGTTTTTCTGCACCTGCCACCCATCAGGGCCATGCTCATGCAGCAGTGAGCATGAAGGGGCAGGATCTGTGCTGGGATGCCAACGTTATGGCAGAGCCCCACAAGGATTCAGGCTGGTCCTCAAAAGTGAGGCCCTGTCGTCCATGGCCGATCACACTGCAATCTACAATGCAGAAGTAGCCCATCGTTGGCCAGTCCATCCATCACATGTGCTCTGATGCCAGTAAAAGGTGTTGTTTTGGGTAACTTCCCATATCAATAGGCACAGAGACCCCTAGCTGATACTGCATCAGTTTCCTTGAACTGCACCCTCCAGCACCACCTGGTGGCTGCTTCCATGCTGGGCCAGAATTTCAGCAAAACCTTGGACACATCGAAAAGGGATACTTATGCCACTCCAGAAGCCTCCACACTCTGTTCCTGGTTCAAGCAGTTAGTCCAAATGCAGTGGCGAGCAGAACGGAAATTGGCTGATGCTGGTTGAGCAAGGTTCTGAGGGATAAAACCCTTACAAAAGACGATGCTAAGAATCAAGCGTGCTGATAACTCAACATAATACAGCACGCCATATGCAATTCTACAACATGACTCTTGCAGCATGACCTGCACTGGTAGTGCACCTGGAGTGTCGATGAAGGTCATCTTCAGGCCACAGACTTGCCCTGTCATCGTGGTAATGCCCTTTGTGGGGTTTGTGGCAAACTCAGGTGCAAGCTCTGGGCCTTCTGCCAGGATGTTTTGGATCATCGACGTCTTGCCTACAGCAGTGGGGCCAAGGACAAGCACTGTCGCGCTGTGACCCAAGTCCGAGTTTGCACCTTGCTCTTGTTCCAGATCAAGAGCCTGCTGGAACAAATGCTCTATGGACGGCCGCACAGGTGCCCTGGAGTACCTGCCACACACCATATGCAACACTCCTGACGACTGAACTGCCCTGCGAGTATGGTTCTGTTCCCATTATCAATGGGAGAAACTAGTTGGCTTGTTGTCTCATCGGCGTATTGACACAAATTGGTAGATAGTCACTGGTGACGCAGATGGTAACTGCTGATGCAGATGCATTCGTACATCATCCATGACCAAATGTGTCCACAACTTGACACACAACGTGACCACAACTTTTGTCAGAGAACTTAGTTGCTAAGAGAAGTGTGGGAGGGCATATCAGTTGTCCCGGCCACATTTTCTCCTCCTGTTTCTTGACATCCTTTGACCACACATCGGCATGCATAGCAGTTGGGACTGAGCAACTCCATTCCATAGACAATTGCATAGACACCAGCTTTAGGTATGACTGCAGCTTTGCGTACAGCTTCCCAATGACAGCTGCATCTCCAGCCAAAGAATGGAGCAGTCAAACCACAGTGCACCCTAATTCATAGGCACAATATCTACTCCTCTCCCCAGTGAAAACTGTGTGATTGCGATGGCCAGAAGCAACCATTTCAAATGGGGCAGCACCTGACCCTCTCTGCAGTGTCGACTCTATTCATGAACTCCTGCACAAGGATGTCCCCTGGCCTCATCCCTAGCCTGGACACAGCCCTGAGCATCGTCAGTCGGATCTGCAGCAGCTTTTCCCTCACCGCCCGCACAGCAGGTGGCTCCTCTGGAACCACCTCCACCCCACGACTCCCAACTGTAGGAGGGCTCAGGGCCCCTGTTCCAGGTCGACCTGGCAGCCCAGGCCCCAGCCCTGAAGGCCTCGCAGCAGCAGGCCGCAGGGGCAGGCCCCCACCCATGCCTGCTGGACGGGCAGACCTGCTGCTAGCTGCTGGGGGCCTCTTCGGGAGTGAAGGCATCCCCCTTGGAGCCTCCACCCTTGGTTCCACAGGATTAGGCGTTGCATCATCGATTCCATCCATTCCCTCATCACTGCCATCTATCCCCTCATCCCCAGCATCCAGGTCATCTGCTTCGTCCAAAGCATCCACCTCTCCTGGAGGGCCGGCACCAGAGGCGCCCCCAGTGGGGGGAGATGCAGCAGCCTTAAGGGCAGCCGCAACAGCGGGAGACACAGCTTCGTCCCAAGGCTCAGGGCCTTTGGGGCCAGCACCATCAAGCTCAAGGTTTCCTGCAGGCACCACTGCCTGCAAGGAAGCAGAGACAAAAAACAGACAACTTGAGACACAGGCACCGACCGCAATGCAAGGCGAGTAATGAAGCAAAGCAGCCTGTGGTCAATTCCGAACAGTTAAGGCCATCCCCAGGAAGCTGGGCTTGCTTCCCGGTGGTGCGCATGCCGCAGGCAGACTGTGTGCTGTCTGCCCAAACGTGAATAATCGTCAAAGTGCATAATACTCACTTGTGCAGGCACAGCCGCTCCAGTAGTCTGGGAGGCTGAAGGTGCAGCTGGTGCAGACTCTACTGCCACATCATCTGCAGCACCTTCAGATTTGGTTGCCGTATCTGACTTGGTTGCTGAGCCACTGTCACTGGTCTTCTTGGGTCCAAAGACATCTTTCCACGTCCAGAACTTGCGACGAGAGTTGGAAGCATTCGATCCAACAGACTGTGGCTCTGAATGAACAGAGCCTGAGTGAGAGCCATGAGCTGAGGCAGCATCCTGATCGCCAGACTGGCGGGCTGATGGAGGGCCATCTGTACAACAGAAAGGGCTCATGGCTTGCAACTGCATCGTCTCCAGTCTGACAGGAACTGAAAATCAGTACGCGCAAAAGATGCACACGGTATTGACCACAAAGCTGGATGCGTCTGTGGGCCAAGGAGCTGAGTGGGAAACGACGACTTGCACAGTTCGCCTGAGTGTGCCTGATAGCACCGTGTGGACTAACTGGTTCACACTGCTTCGTGTTCAGTTGAAGTGACAGGGCAACCTTTGCATCTGTATGTTTGTGTGCAGGTTAATTTTCACCATCAATATCCAATAGTCCCCAGGCTCACCTCCAAATTTGCCACTCTCACATGCAGCAAACACATGATCCTAACTTGTGCAAAATGTTTGGAGTGCTCGTATAGCCCTGCACACGACTGCTTGGTGTTGTAGATGCTAAGGCTGCATACACTCAAGGAGAGTATGTGCTCAAGATGCCTCAATAAATTTCCAATCCAATGTCTGACCGCAACACCCCATGAACATGCAGAACATACACAGGACGCCATGAAGCTGGTCCTTGCCACGAACCTCCATGGCATACATCTCCTAAGGGAATCTTCAAGACCTTGCACTGAATGACAATGAATGCCCACATAAAATCGCTGTGTGCACTGTGGACTCTACTTGGTTCTGCATGTATTTGTCAAAAACTGAACTTGTTGATCATGTTAACAAGTCATGTCACAGCTACAGGGCTGAACAATTGGGCATTCCCACACTCATACCCAAGTATTCACAGCAGCTGTACATGTGCTCAGAAATTGCTGCAAATACACAATAGCAGGGACACAGGTGCACCCTCCCACATGGATTGAAGAAATGCTCTATTTTTACAATGCCCTGCAGGTGCAAGGGCCACATCATGTATATGGGACAAATGTTATCACTGATAAATTCAGCTTGTGCACTTATGAGCCATTCATAGTATCTGCCACCTTCCCCTTCCAGCTACAGGCAACCAAATGGTACTGGTTCAGCCACTGGACACCAGAGTCGCCCTGCCGCAGGTCATCTTCCAGTTCTAAAGCAGCCCACCCACAACCTAAACGCAACAGCAGCAAAGGCAAGCAAAACTGGTTCCCACATGGCTGGAAACTCAGCTTGCACAGCATACCTTCCCTGCTCCCAACTGACCCTGTCCTTGCATGCCCTGGGGCGCTGGGCACTGGCACCGGTGCACTTTGGTTCATGCCCCCTTCCGCACATTTCATGCTCTGGCAAAGCACAAATGCATCTCAAAATCAGCACGAGCTGCCACTCTGGAAACAGGCCAATCGCCTTATTTCGCAGTCTAGCAAGTTGTCACAGGCATCAGTTCTGGTCGAGTCCGTGGCTGTCATTCAGGAAGCCACCAAACCCATTCACGAATGCCGGCATTGGACCAAGTGTTGAAGCAGAGTGTCGGGCAAATGGTCAACAAAGGGCTTGCTCTGCGTACAGTGTGTGGAACAAAACCCAGGTGCGTCTTGGACAAAGTCCTGCACACTCCACAGCATTTAGAAGTGTGAAGACTCGATACTCTGCAAGAACGACCGCCACGCGGGGAGGGTGGTAGCCGAACCCAAATGCCCACAAGTACCAGCACAAATAGCGCACATTCCATCGTTACAGGCGTGAGGGGAGCTTTGTTGGAATAACAATTGAGAGTCTCCACAACAACGATCCCAGTCCGTTGAACGCCACTCACGTCGTCGCTTGCCATGTCCCCGGCCTCGGAAGAAGGGCCCAACGGCGCCCCCGCCTAGCTGCCAATTTCACTACGACGCAGGCACCAGTCCGTCAAATTTGATCCACCAGCCCATCGGCGCGGCAGCCCGCGGCCAAGCGCCAATTTTGCGGGGAGCCTGCCCCCAGTCGACGCCGACTTCAGCCGCAATGTGGACTGCACTGTGAACAAAAATCAATCGCGCCAAGGCGTCAAAGTGCCGAATTCGCGCTTCCCCTTTGCCATCAGCGCCCCCAGGTCCGGCGAGCGGGGCCACAGGGCGCAGCGATCGGCTGGATTACAGCCCATGGAGCCGCGAGCGCAGTGGAGGGGGCGCTGGCTGCATGCGCGTCGACCCACCTGACAACCTGTCGCGCGGCGGCAGCCGTCGGAGACTCCAGGACGGCGCCCGCAACCAGACCCACAAAGCAGAGCACTAAGCGGGCTGCGAGAGAATGGATCTTGGTTAGGAGCGGCGACGCCCTGGACCCGTCAAACGAGTCCATTTTCCTCGGAGTAGGGAAGATGATTTGGCGCCAATACACGCTAGCCATCTCTTGTGATCAGGGGGCCCCACTGTTTGCAAGTTGGACCAGGATGGTTGCGGCACCGTGGTGACTGTAACAGACAACTTGGAAAGGAAACAGCTTTTCTTTCCCAATTATGTGTTTCCCCGTTGCCGTGAACGCATACCGTCCAATGACTAAATGATTGAAATGCAGGCCGAGGCTAGCCGCCCAACTAGATCGTAACGTATCTCAAGGATAACACAATGTGTGGTAAGGTTGTCTGTCGCTGACCTCAATTGGGAGAGAAGGCCTGCAAGGATGCACAACTGTCCATTGGTCTACGGCCTTGAAAACTCATGCTGTGTAACAGCATACAACAGATACAAGTGGGCCAAAAAAACTTGTAGCAGCAACCAAATAAGGCCGAGCGATTTCTCATTTTCATAAATGTTGTCAGAACTCTTCACGATTTTTTGTTGATAGTTTTTATAATGGTGGCTTGCTCAGCCTATCCCACGCAACGAGTCATGATTATGAAGTTCAGGGCATAGTTTATGTGCCACAATTATGCAGGGATTGCTATCGGGTCAGTAACAATTAACAAAAGACAATATAATATAATAAAAAGATCGGTACCTATGCATGGCCTATGTAAGGCAAACACAGTGGAAGGAGATATGCACACTAGAGGTGGCCACTCAAAGGTGCCATCCGGTCCGTTAAATCCGGTTCGTTAATTTTTATCAGCTGTCCGTTAAATTTCGTTAAAGAAAAAGGGAGAAAATTTTAGAAAAAACGAAAAAAATCCAAAAAAATCGAAAAAAACCCCAAAAAATCACAACAACTGTGGCTAGTTGAAAATCTAGTATGCATAGGTTGAAATAAAATACAAACATACTCTCTAATAGCGAATTCCATAAACTATAAATATGACTAAAACCCAAAAATCCCCCAAAAATCCAAAAATCCGCTAATTTTTGGTTAATTTTTGTCTTTTTTCGTTATTTTCCGTTAATTAACGGAAAATTAACGGAAATTAACCTCTGTCCGCTATTAACGGATCCGGGTGGCCACCTCTAATGAGTATGCAAGTCTCTGCCCAGAAGATAAAACGGCTTGCTCGACACAAAGACATGTATGTGGCCATCATGAGGCCAAGTGGAGGAGACAAGACAGAAGACCAAGAGTACAAGGAAGTGAATGCAATCGTAGAGTTGGATGATGCCAAGATTGATACACCGTTTCCAAGAGAAGTTAAGGAGATACTGGTGGAGTATTTGGATGTTTTTCCAGTGGAGCTACCTCCAGTTATACCACCAAAGCATACCATGTACCATCATGTTGAATTACTCGCCGGGACAGAGCCACCTCATTGAGCACCTTACCGGATGTCTACTCAAGCATTGGACGAGTTGAAGACTCAGTTAAAGGAGTTGACGGAGCATGGGTATATTCAGCCTTCAGTTTCACCTTTTGAAGCTCTCGTTCTTTTTATTCCAAAGAAGGACGGCAGTGTTTGAATGTGTGGACACTACTGGGCATTGAACAAGGCAACGATTTGGAACCGCTACCCATTGCCCCGCATTGAAGAACTTCTAGACCGCTTGGGTGATGCAAGTTTCTTCATGAAGATTGATTTAAGGAGTGGCAACCACCAGATCCGTATCCATCTAGATGACGTGCCAAAGACAGCCTTTAGAACAAGATACGGGCACTTCGAATTTCTCGTGCTACATTTTGGCTTAGCAAATACTCTGGCCATGTTTATGCATTTGATACATAGCATCTTCAGGGAGCATCTATATACCTTTGTCGGCATCTTCTTGGATGACATCTTGGTGTACTGCTGATCGTTAGTAGAGGTGGCCACCCGGATCCGTTAATAACGGACGAGGGTGCCGTCCGTTAAATATCCGTTAATTTAGCGGACCCCGCTCTCTCTCTTGCTGACGTGGCACGGATGGCAGCGGACGGCTGGTGCCAGTCAGCGGACTCTGCGGATTCCGCTTGGGCGTTAACGGATATTTTCCATCGGACCGGAAGCCGCGCACCCCATCCGCTAATTTAGCGGATGGCAGCGGACGTGTGTGCCGAATCAGCGGATGACAGGCAGTAAGTACTGATTTCCGAATCTGCGGATCGGGTTGATTGCCAGCGTGGCTCAGCCAGCGTCCACATACCGCCGACCTTATTTGGTCGCTCTTCTGGTGCTGCCGCAGTCTCCAACCCTTGCCGCCCCACCAGCCACACCATGGACCCAGCACCTGCCGGGCCAAGAGGTAAGGCATACCGCGCGGCGCGCGCACGGGCGGCACAACCAGAAGCCAGGGCAACGCCCTCAGTACCGCCAACCTGGCAGGAAATTCCGGGCCGCGCGGGGTGTTGGGGGGGGCTCGGATGATCTGTTGGCCGAAAACCTGTCTGTGGCCGGATGCAATCCGCCGCTGATGCACACGCATAGCGCGCTATCCTGCTTTCTGGCCAGGGCAACGCCCTCAGTACCGCCGACCTGGCGGGAAAATCCGGGCCGCGCGGGGTGTTGGGGGGGGGGGGGGCTCGGATGATCTGTTGGCCGAAAACCTGTCTGGCCGGATGCAATCCGCCGGTGATGCTCAGGCATAGCGCGCTATCCTGCTTTCTGGCCAGGGCAACGCCCTCAGTACCGCCGACCTGGCGGGAAAATGCGGGCCGCGCGGGGTGTTGGGGGGGGGGGCCTCGGATGATCTGTTGGCCGAAAACCTGTCTGGCCGGATGCAATCCGCCGGTGATGCTCAGGCATAGCGCGCTATCCTGCTTTCTGGCCAGGGCAACGCCCTCAGTACCGCCGACCGGGCGGGAAAATGCGGGCCGCGCGGGGTGTTTGGGGGGCGGGGGCTCGGATGATCTGTTGGCCGAAAACCTGTCTGGCCGGATGCAATCCGCCAGTGATGCTCAGGCATAGCGCGCGCTATCCTGCTTCCTGGCCAGGGCAACGCGCTCAGTACCGCCGACCTGGCGGGAAAATCCGGGTCGTGGGGGGTCTCGGATTATGTGTGGACTTTGGAAGGCTGGTGGCACATGGCCGGGTGGGAAGATCATGGTCGGGGTTTGACTTCATTCCGGGATTTTACCTGCGACCCTCACCAACTGTGTTGCATTGTAGGTGCGACCAGTGCTGAAACGGAAAGCAGGCAGGGACGCCTTCGACATGAGGGACGTGTAGGTGCGGTGGACGTGTACCTCTGTGCAGCAAGCCTGAGTGTCGCCTATTGTGGCTGGGTGCTATAGGGAACATCGCTGGAAGTCGGGTACAATCGCAATGTTGATTCTAAGGCTGGTAATCCAAGGCTTGTATGCCTCTGGCTGGAAACCATGCATCCATTCGGGCACCTACTGTCCTGCGTATATGTTGGAAATGTACTTAACGTTGTGTGTGGTGCCGCAGCCTCACCAAGCTGCGTCAATGCAGATCCACAAACCATCGGGAGGGGAATGGCGAGCGCAGAGGAGCAGCAAGACGAACCCTCACTTGGTGAGTGGATTACCACTACACTTGCTGAACTGTATTTTGCTGTCGTCTTTAGCGGCTGTGGCTGTGTGTGTTTGTGGGTGGGTAGGGTGCTGCACCATTCTGGCATGGCCACCTCGTTGGTGGCAGTACCCGCCGTCACCTGGCTGGGGAAACCTTGGCAGCTGGTTCCTTCCATGTGGCCATGCACTGCACAGGGTGCACCACTTGTCGCTGCAATACCCATCGTCTTTGCTTACATGCCACCAACATTATCTGGCACTACCCGCCGTCACCTGGCTGGGGAAGTCTTACCACTTTGTTACTTTTATTTTGCTGCACACCGCATAAAGTATGTCAGATGCCCTCGCAACCCATCACCGCTTTGTCCTTATAAAAACATTTTGCGCACCCGCCGTCACCTGGCTGGGGAAACCTTGGCAGTTGGTTCCTTCCATGTGGCCATGCACTGCACAGGGTGCACCACTTGTCGCCGCAATACCCATCGTCTTTGCTTACATGCCACCAACATTATCTGGCAGTACCCGCCGTCACCTGGCTGGGGAAGTCTTACCACTTTGTTACTTTTATTTGGTTGCACACTGTACAGGGTATGCTGTATGTCCCTGCAGAACCCATCGCCTGTTTTTCCTTATGTGGCATCACCATTTTGTGGCAGTACCCGCCGTCACCTGGCTGGGGAAACCTTGGCAGTTGGTTCCTTCCATGTGGCCATGCACTGCACAGGGTGCACCACTTGTCGCCGCAATACCCATCGTCTTTGCTTACATGCCACCAACATTATCTGGCAGTACCCGCCGTCACCTGGCTGGGGAAGTCTTACCACTTTGTTACCTTTAGGGGGCCGTGCATTGTACAGGGCGTGCTGCATTTCTCTACAATAGCTGTTGTCTTTGCTTTCGTGCTACCACCAGTATGTGGCAGTACCTGCCGTCACCTGGCTGGGGAATCACTGTATTATGTGCCTGTGTTAGGTCGGA